AAATAGTGGCAATGTAGCAAGGTTTACTGGCAAATAGTGGCAATGTAACAAGGTTTACTGGAAAATAGTGGCAATGTAGCAAGGTTTACTGGCAAATAATGGCAATGCAACAAGATTTTCTGACAAAAAATGGCAATGTAACAAGGTTTACTGGAAAATAGTGACAATGTAACAAGGTTTACTAACAAATAGTGGCAATGTAACAAGATTTGCTGGCAAATAGTGACAATGTAACAAGATTTTACTGAAAAAAATGGCAATGTAACAAGGTTTACTGACAAATAGTGGCAATGTAAAAAGATTTGCTGGCAAACAGTGGCAATGTATGAGGGTTTACTGACAAATGAATATTTTTAAACGTGAATTTCGTAAAGAAGGAAATACCAAGGTTATGTAATAGTAGTAGTATAAAGTGTTACTGATTATTTATGGTAGTAAGTTAGTAACATGTCAGTATAACAAGATTTCAGTCAGTGATGTCTCATTTACAAGCCAATTTGCCGTTTCTCTACTTAATGTTTGAATCATTTTATTAAAGACAGATGTCACATTTGCTGGGAACAAATGCAGCTGAATAACCAACACCAAATTGCTGTACACTTCATCCTGGCCTACAGTGTGGGATATTGGAGAGCTGTTGTCGTGTTATAAACCTGTCACAAATATGTATCGATCAACTCAATTACGACCTTTGATTGAAGCTGTCACTACCAATATTGATTAAAGAGCGGAAGTCGTTAGAGGAAATCTAAGTCATTAGTATGTTTGATAGAACATGATCTGGTAATAATCTGTCCCTAATTGAGTAAGCTGATCTGAACAATCTCCTTCATCTCCAGAAGAATTCTCTTAAAACCTGTATTGGAAAGAATGGAATCTCTATATTGAGAATTAACTATAATTCATGTCCAACATGAGCAATTTACAATTAAAATGCTGTCTTCTATTAAAACCGGTATCCAGTATCACAAAATGATACCTAAATCTTAAGCTACTGGCTTTCATATAATCATTTAAAGTAAATTGCATTTCAAAACTTTTCTACACAAAATACAGATGAATTCAAGCTTATGTAAGATAATTACATAAGTGTTTGGTTCAGGAAATACAGAATCCTTACCAATAAAAAGTGCTGATGTAGCTGGAATTTACTTCAGTCTAGTTTCAATAGTCAGTGCAGTGTGAGCATGTAGAATGTTATATAACAACATTTATCTATACACCATCAAACTATGGAAATTGTCTTAACTAAATACCAACATTATTTCTGTGCTGAGTTGACACTTTATCAAATTATAATGGTTTATCATTTCTGCTGAGTTGACACTTTATCAGATAAGAAAGGTTTATTATTTCTGTGCTGAGTTGACACTTTATCAGATTAAATAGGTTTATCATTTCTGTACTGAGTTGATACTTTATCAGATTATAAAGGTTTATTATTTCTGTGCTGATATGACACTGAATGTTTTATTATTTCTGTGCCAAGTGGACACTTTATCAGATTATAAAGGTTGATCATTTCTGTGCTGAGTTGACACTTTATCAGATAAGAAAGGTTTATTATTTCTGTGCTGAGTTGACACTTTATCAAATTATAAAGGTTTATCATTTCTGTGCTGAGTTGACACTTTATCAGATAAGAAAGGTTTATTATTTTTGTGCTGAGTTGACACTTTATCAAATTATAAAGGTTTATCATTTCTGTGCTGAGTTGACACTTTATCAGATAAGAAAGGTTTATTATTTCTGTGCTGAGTTGACACTTTATCAGATTATAAAGGTTGATCATTTCTGCTGAGTTAACACTTAATCAGATAAGAAAGGTTTATTATTTCTGTGCTGAGTTGACACTTTATCAGATTAAATAGGTTTATCATTTCTGTGCTGAGTTGATACTTTATCAGATTATAAAGGTTTATTATTTCTGTGCTGATATGACACTGAATGTTTTATTATTTCTGTGCCAAGTTGACACTTTATCAGATTATAAAGGTTTATCATTTCTGTGCTGAGTTGACACTTTATCAGATAAGAAAGGTTTATTATTTCTGTGCTGAGTTGACACTTTATCAAATTATAAAGGTTTATCATTTCTGTGCTGAGTTGACACTTTATCAGATAAGAAAGGTTTATTATTTCTGTGCTGAGTTGACACTTTATCAGATTATAAAGGTTTATCATTTCTGTGCTGAGTTGACACTTTATCAGATAAGAAAGGTTTATTATTTCTGTGCTGAGTTGACACTTTATCAGATTATAAAGGTTTATTATTTCTGTGCTGAGTTGACACTTTATCAGATGAAAGGTTTATTATTTCTGCTGACACTTTATCAGATTATAAAGGTTTATTATTTCTGTGCTGATATGACACTGAATGTTTTATTATTTCTGTGCCAAGTTGATACTTTATCAGATTATAAAGGTTTATCATTTCTGTGCCGAGTTAACATTGTAACGGATTATGAAGGTTTATGTACCTGATGAGACCTTGGTAATGTTCCATTATGTCTGTTTTCATTTTTATTTTTTTTTTCTTCATACAGTAGATTAAATTAGACAATATTCACTTTCTTAATTTCATACACAGGTGGTATAAAAAGAAATCAAATAATTGAACATCTCAAAGACCTGAATGCCCCAACTCTTTTGTACACCAGATTCTGATCAGGTGTAAAACTTGACTGTATACTATGAGGTAAATATGAACCCAATCTGTTAGAAGTTCCAAAGATATGACATTGATTTGGACGTGACGGGACAAGAGAATTAACTCAAGATGAACAAATATTTCTCAAGCGTTACCCAATAAACATTTTTCCATCATGTCTGATTTGTCTGGTACATTTATACAATACCTCGCGACATGCGACGTGTAACATCATAATCAAAATGATGTCATATTCAATTGTTTTGCTAATATACTGTAAAGAAAGATAATACAATCGCATCTAAATGTAAATGAAATAGTTGCAAAGGTTTTGTTCAATTTTGACAGAATCATGTATGAAAAATAGAATCTATTACCTGTATGTTCACGATAAATTTATCTCAGTCTCAGGCAGAACGTTAACCCTCAAATGAGATAAATTGACATCAAAAACACAAAAATAACATAAAAACAACTACATAAGAGGAAAACATCTCTTATTTGGAGTCGTTTAATCTAAATGGACAGTGTTTCTTACATAGAGCACAACTATACATGTGGTTCTATATAAGTAGATAAACAACTTAGTTTGTGACATGGTTATCACCAATTTGTTCATTAAAGAAACAAAGAACTACAAATAAAACTTACTACTTAGTGTATAATCATTTGTTTGCTGCTATACGCCATTTATAAAACAAGAAAACTGCATCAAACATCACAATTGTTTTATTGACAAAGGAGGTTGGTTTGGTGTTGCAGAGGTAATGTTAAAGCTTTTCACCCAGCCATCTAGGGTTCGATTCCTAGAACTAACGTGAAAAGTAATGGGGTAACCTGCCGAACCTCATGGGTTTTCTTTGGGTACTCCGGTTTCCTCCCAAACCCTCCACACTTCCACCGCAGCCAACAAGAGTGATTAATATAAGCTGATCGCTTGTTTCCCAATTGTTGTTAAATAAAGCTTAAATCCCCCACAATTTATTTTATATCAAGTCAGTCACAAGCACCTCAAACAATCATGCATTTTCAGGAAAACAGAATACTTTGATGGAAAACTCAATGGCTCTGATTTGTGAGTCAGCACCACATGTTAACAGGTTGTGAAACCAAGCTTTCCACGACAACTTACGCCTGCACGCTCAGATCACATACATAATCTCTTTAAGAATATTTGAAGTAGTTATAAAAATTAAGGCTGGATAATTTATCTTCTTGTGAGGAAATTGCTGAAATACCATCATCAAAGGACCTCTGTATTGCTGTCAAGGAGTTGTTATCAACTTGAATCAAACTTAATGGTCGAAAATCCATTACAATTCTTTTGGAGTAACTAAATCAACATTTTGGTAATGTCTTGTCATTAGTTTGGTTGACAATAAGATTATGTAAAGTCGAGTGAAACAAATTTTACTGTTTTTTGAACTGCCTCTTGCAGCAAATGATCAATACTTCATAGTTGTAATTCAACATGAAGAACATTTCTTCTTTTTCAACATTTAATATTAAACATAATTCCAGTTGCAACACCAATATTTGTTAATAAAACTGTATCACTTTAATTTTTTGTACTGTATTAATATGGTCAACATATTGATTGCTGTTCCTCAGCTTTTCTAGTTAACCCAGCTGTATAAAGTGGTACATCGTATGTTTCAATACTTTTACTCCCATTAGCTAAAGGTGCATTGTTTTTTGGTAAATAAAAAAAAGATTGTTTTTTAAATCTACCTTAGTACAGCTAATTGGTGCTATGACACTACTCATAACTGCGTAGCATTGTAATTTTACATAGACTAACTATGTTGCTAATTGATAATGACATCAATTTTGGCCTCCATTTCATGGGATACTGATGTTAATGATGCAGCAATGAGTAGGTTTCACAACTAACAATTTGTTACTTTTTTTCTTAAGTATGGGAGAAAAATCATCAAAACAATTGTGTAAGAGTTTGGCTGAGCAGCACTTAGCAAGCCTCGTGCTAACCAGCCAAACTCTTATACTCTGGCTAAGATATCCTTGTCCGCAGAACAGACCCATGAAAGATTCTATTAATCTTTATCGTCACTACTTTAGTTTATCAAGCTGTCTAACAATCAATATTGCTAAAGCTGTGAAAAACTATATATTGGTGTACAAATATTTTAGTCCATTCTGGGAGTGTGTCAAAATAAAATCAGAAATAACAATTTACAATAAAAATGGTAAGAAAAACAAATTTATTTTCCTATCACAGCACACAGTAATTCTTTCATTAAGTGGAAGTTTTTCAAGAGAAAATGAGATATGAAGTAAACCTGACAACAAATTAAGTGCATATACAGCAATCAAAGGGCCAAATACTTACAACATGAAGTCTTGTTCCCAACACGGGTTGTTACCCTTCACCTGTATAGTCGTGGATTTGACATTCTGCAGCTTCAAGGTCACATACGTATTGAATCGTTCTGCAACAACACCAAAAATGAAGACCATTAAAAACCTTCTACACCTTGTGCGGCCTTTAAATACCTCACCACTGAATAGATTAATTTCACATATAACTCACATTATGACAATAACATTATTAAGTTTGTAGATATTAATATCAAAATGAAATCTTAATCTGAATATAATATGCCCCATGCTTAAAAGAAAACTTGATGGACTTGTTAATAAAATAACATAACAAAATAATATGTCTTTATATTGTACTTAAAATGATATCCCATATGAAAACTGAAAATTTAAACATTGTCAGTGGTAACCAAAAAAACAGAGTACAAGGACACGTAAGTTTATGACAAACATCACATCTTGTAGAGGCACCATTTCAGTAAATTTATACAAAATGTATGTTCCTATATAAACAAGCAGCACTGACAATGTGGCACTCTCGTAATCACTTCAGAACATACATGCCATATTAAACAAAATTCACATCCAAATGATACTTCCATGCTTAGTATTCATAATATGCTCGTTCATGAATTATTATTATACTAAATAAATGTTCATATGTTGAACAAAAACATCTAAGAATAAATCTTGATGTATTCAATATTCAAGCTTTCAGGAATAATTCAATAAGTATGAATTATTCTTGTTAGTAATTCTACTAAACATCATGGAGTGGACATACATCAGCTGATACAGCCTGCCTGCCATGGAGCTCTGCATTTTTGTTTTATTTCTTCTAAGTATATATATAGATAAATCTTCAAAATGGCCAGTACAGTCTTCTTGATATTTCATCAATTGATTATACATCCAGTGGACAAAGAGCTCAGCAATTCATAAAAATATTTCCAGTTTCAGAGTATTTATAGGAGCCCATCACATTAAAGCAGGTACATAACAAAATAGCACTATAAATTGTCTCTGAATTTGAGAAAGGTCAAACATCAAGTCTATCGTTAGATTGTTGTAAACCTTATGTTTTCAACTGTATAAACCTCTATGATGTGTAACTAAACCCTATTCTTAGATTTACGTGTAATTTTATGTGTTTCAGTCGACTCACAATAGGTAATTACTATTGACTGTTTTACATGGCCAGAACTAGTGGGTACAATGTATCGTACGTACACTAGGTTGATCACAATCTGACCAATGTATTATTTATCACAACTAGAGAACATCTCTGGCTACATACAAGTTCAGATTAAGAAACAGAGAAAGACGTGTTTAGTCACGACTGATGTATGTATGATTTGTGATAAAGTGAGTCAGATTTATATCAATTACTGCAGTAAATAATAATAGATGAAATAGTCCTATGGATACATCTCAGCTCCCGACAACTTAATGGAAAGATAAAAAGTTATTCCTTCTCATGAGACTTGAAGATTGATTGCCAACGAATAAAGATGTCAGTGATGTAACAATGCTGAATCCCATGGATACATAATATATGGGTTAACATTCATAGAACAGTGCAAAATGTGAAAAAGTAAAGTTACATATTGTCTAACTTTTCAAGTCACTTGTTCACAGGCCTTTTTACTTCTCGCTTGGGGATGGGCCTTTTTAACTCATTTTGGCAAAAAAAAATGATCTGATGGGAAGAAAAATTTTAGGAACAACCTACCATCAATAAAGCAGAAATATACACTTATTCTTCCATAACACCTGGTCTTGATCTCCTTGTCAAGAGTCTCTGTGTAAACATTTCTTTTGTTCATATTTTGCCCTTGTTTAATCAAATTTGAGTTTAGATCATGATTATGTTAATACGCTGGTATTCTCTTGTTGTTTTGTTGGGTTTTTTTTATATACTTTGTGAATTTGACCATATTATGAAATAAATCCAGTTGGGAATGGGGACCATATTTGGCCCCACAGATCCCCTAAAAAACGGCCTGATTTACTATCTGACAGGTAAAATCTGACAAAAACAACTTTCCACTCTAATATGTGATGTGAACTAGAAAATTCTCTAGTAAAACACTAACATAAAAACATACGACTAAGAAAAGAGAACAATGTATGGGGAGAATGATAATAATAATAATAATATCTTTTATTTAACCAGGGTTACATATTTAGACAATGTCTAGTTTACAATATGGCCCTGCAAATGGATCCCCCTTTGAATAGATCACTCAATCTACTAATTTTATCTAAAGAAAATTAGTCCTGGTACATTTTCTTCATATACTTTTATTTATTTCTGAGTCAATCAAAGTCTGTTTCAAGAATCCCTCTAGTCTCTCTGTAAAAAATCATATCAAAAACAAACCAATTGATTTTAGGAAGTGACACCTCAGAGCATCTGAAGTGAAAAGCTATAGTCACAAAAATATTGGCAGTTGTTATAGATGAAAGAAGTTATTATGTGATTCAGTAGAAACACACAGACTGGCAGACTGACAGACACATTTAAAACCTATATTATTCTCTGTCAGAACCAATTACACATCATTGCTACAGCATTCTATCTTATTTTTTTTATGAAATATGAAAACTGAAACATCTTAGTTGTTTGATGATATTAGAATCAATATTGATTTTGTGAGAGAACTCACTATCTGTTTTAGTCTGTAAATGTATGTATTCACCATATCAAAGACCAACTTCACCACTTACACTCTATTTCTCCAAAACAAACTGTAACTCCTGATATTTACTGAATACTTCAAACAGTTATTCCAGATTTACATATTTACTCAAAGGACAGAACGTGACTGCAGACATTCAAGGCCTGATTCCCTGAGGCAGGTGGACACAAGGCAATTCCAAGTGTCAATTCTATTGAAACACAATTTAAAGCTAATTTTACAGACAAGAGGTAATCAATATATTGTCAATATTATTGATGGAAAGGGAGACAACTATCCAGCAATCATCAATCTATGAACAGCATAACGTTGATGTATTGCTATCCATTGTTGCGCTAAACTTGCATAACACCATCAATTTCATCAGAACGGATTTCCCTACACTAAAATGCATCCGATGTAATGCCAAACCCCCATACTACCATTATGTTTTGAGAATATTCCTTTGTGTTCCCTTGATAAAACTGCTACAATGTTACCAAGTTTACCTGTGATATGGTCATCCACTTCACGGCTGACCAATCCATTAATCAGCTTATATATATAGTTTGTATATAACAATATCTGAATGTGTTTTATTAATTTCTGCCAGATTACCATTCACTTTTTAAAGTTTTTTCCTGAACAGGCCATTTTTATTTAAACACCCTCTTATTTTATCAATTAGTTGGTAGTAATCTCAGGATATTTCATATTAGGTGTTGTAACACTTATGTGTAGGTGTTGTAACACTTATGTGTAGGTGTTGTAACACTTATGTGTAGTAAAAGTCAGAATTCCAATTAGACAACAATTTTGCAGAAGGTTTTATTTTGTACCAATTACAGTGAAACTTCGCTATTAAGACCACTTTGGGGACTGGAAAAAAGTGGTCTAAATAGCGAGGTGGTCTTAATAGTGAGGTGGATCAGATTGACCACAAAGAACCGTAACTCTGTTTAAAATAAAGAGTATATATATATCATTAAGTAATGTACATGTATATTATTCAATAATAATAACTAAACTGTATTTAAAATGTTAAACGTGTAACGCCACCTGGTGACAGGGTCGGTAACCCGTGACGAAAACAATGGTCGTGAACGACACACATGTTCACAGTTCACTGCCCATCAGGTAAACTTTAATTACTGGTCAGAACTTGGTCGTAATTGTGAGGTCACTTATCGTTAATTAGTGGTCGTTGGGACTGTAAGAAGTGGTCGTAATACGGAATAGCGGGGTGGTCGTAATACTGAAGCGACCAATACAAAGATATATAGTGGAAAAAAATGGGACTGGAAAAAAGTGCCCGTAATAGCGGGGTGGTCAAAATTTTGAGGTAGTCGTTAGGTGAGGTTTCAATGTACCATTTTATCTAGAGTTTCCATATGTACAGTACAACAGGCAAGTGCTTCACTATACTGGGTTTATATATCTATAGAGATATATTTGCTGTCAATTTGCATGTTAATTAAACAGTTGTCAGCATCATCACAAGCAAGTATCATGTGTAGTAAACAAACAAGGATCCCCAAAAATCAAAAACTTGTATTGCCAAACTTGTGCTGCCACAATCTTATTGGACAGAAGGTGGTGATATGTCCAGGTTATATTGTACATCATTTAAATAAATATTCAGTGTGTAAAAGAGATGTATAATGTTCAGTAATATGTCCAACCAGTAGTCAAAAAATTTAGAAGGCATTTGCATTTTTATTGAATCACGACAGAGTTTATCAGGAAACAGAGAGAAAATACAACAGGTTCCTGTGCAGAGGTCTTATTAATTCCTAATGCCTATTACATCTTAAGCATATATTGTTTGACACTCCCTAGCTACCTAACGCAGTTTCACAGGAAGCTGAAAAACCGACCAGTCTCTGCTGCTATGGTTGTGTCCTTGTGCAAGACACTTTACCCTAATTGCTCTGGATGCCATGTGACAGGCCTCCTGTTTGTTGTTCAGTAAGGCAGCCACCAGCTTCAATGAGATCTTGCCCCAAAATGATCAGGGGACAATAAACTCTATGAATAAACAGCATATATTAATGATCCAACCAATGTCTAAAAAAAACCTGACACACTTATCAACTTGAAGGAGAAACTTTTTAATCCTTTTACTTTCTATTTTTATATTGATCCTCCACCAGATGATAAAATCAGAAATAGAACTACAGAACTGTCAGCAACAATCACATTTCTCCTGATACATTATATGTAAGATTCAATATCTAATCAAATGTTCTATTTCTCTAAATAGTAACGTGGCTTTCAACTTGGAATCCTGAAACACAATTCTGAGGTATTACGTCATTATTCTAGGTTGACCTGTACAGAAGTTTTACCAAAATCCCTGACAACATGAAGTTGCTAGAGTAATATTGATTTAGTGCTGAACACTTATACAACACAGGGGTCAAGAAAGGTCAGTTTGTTAGACGAAGGCCTCCATAACCTGAAGTAAAGATCTGAGGTGCCTGGTTCGAGGCTCCCTAACCATGGCAGTTTGTGTTTCTCTGAGAGACAAACAGGTCTGTGCTGATGTAGGTGTGTCCTTAAGCAAGATACTTTACCCAAATTGCTTTGGATGGCATGTGACAGGTTCCCTGTATGCTGTGATGTAGCCAGTAGCTAGAACAAGGAGGACACTGACTAAAATTGATCCTGGCTCATCACTAGTTACCGGGTGATAAACCCAAAACCCAACAACCAGACTTAGCAACAGGACAGACATATTGATATAACATCATATACATATATACATAGTGTTATTAACATAAACGAAAGCAGAACAGAATCTTAACCACTCTGAATTTAATTCCAATATCCTTCAAAACACCAGATATTTGTGATAACATAAAGTTATGGTGTTGCCATCAAAACCTTGTGAAATAACCACCACTAAGTCTTACTGATGTGATGGATATTATGACAAGAAGCTTTCGTGATGAACAGTGTGTAACTTGCGAGATCTTCATACAATACTTTACAGGAGAATTTTAGTTAAAAAGTGCTTGTTAAGAAAAACAAAAAATTTGTCCTGACAATATAACCTATTTTTCATTTTATAACAGCCGATGGTTAATTGAGTATCATTTTATAACAGCCGATGGTTAATTGAGTAAATGTGTATTTGTAATCATACAACCAGGAAACCTTGATCATGTGAGTGCCAATTATGTTTTCTAAATGGTAACATGTACAGAATATCAAGATCTGTCAGGAATATTTTAATCTCCATCAAAAAGAAGTTATAAAACTGACATGGAGACATTAGGAATTTATAAGAGAAAAATATAATGTCTATTTATAGTATATATAAAGCTGACTCCAGAGTTATTCTCTGATTCAGTTCGGATTATCTTTATAACTCAGGATGATGGTACAAGGATCATATAATACAGTTCATTGATACTAGTGGTAGATGTGGTTGTGTTTACTGGAACCTTGAAGTTGTTGAATTTTAACATGTAACCCTCAAGTTTCTATAGCATCTGTCAAAATTTAACGCCTCACAGAAAGATCATAAAAGTGAACAATGAAACTGTGAGATTCTATTTTAGGTATACATGTGTACTTGTCTATGGAATAACTGTTGAAGTTTCATCAAATTTTTTTATGAAAATGTCAAAGGCAATGTCCAAGAAAATAAAGAAATAGAAAATTCCTGTTATATATAACAAAAAAAAAAAACCACTTGTGAGTTGTAAATGTCAATCAAGCTAACAACCTTACCAGCTCCTCCATCTATCTTGTAATATAGATATACTGACATTTAAAACAACCTTACCAGCCCCTCCATCCATCTTGTAATATAGATATACTGACATTTAAAACAACCTTACCAGCCCCTCCATCCATCTTGCAATATAGATAAACTGACATTCAAAACAACCCTACCAGCCCCTCCATCCATCTTGTAATATAGATATTCTGACATTTAAAACAACCTTACCAGCCCCTCCATCCATCTTGTAATATAGATATACAGACATTCAAAACAACCTTACCAGCCCCTCCATCCATCTTGTAATATAGATATACTGACATTTAAAACAACCCTGCCAGCCCCTCCATCCATCTTGTAATATAGATATACAGACATTCAAAACAACCCTACCAGCCCCTCCATCCATCTTGTAATATAGATATACTGACATTTAAAACAACCCTGCCAGCCCCTCCATCCATCTTGTAATATAGATATACAGACATTCAAAACAACCCTACCAGCCCCTCCATCCATCTTGCAATATAGATAAACTGACATTCAAAACAACCCTACCGGCCCCTCCATCCATCTTGTAATATAGATATACTGACATTTAAAACAACCCTGCCAGCCCCTCCATCCATCTTGTAATATAGATATACAGACATTCAAAACAACCCTACCAGCCCCTCCATCCATCTTGCAATATAGATAAACTGACATTTAAAACAACCTTACCGGCCCCTCCATCCATCTTGTAATATAGATATCCTGACATTCAAAACAACCCTACCAGCCCCTCCATCCATCTTGTAATATAGATATACTGACAATCTATACATTTCACTTGTATTTTAACCTTTATGATATGCCATTAATTGAGACTATCATCAAAACTCTTGGCAATCCTGTTAAAAGAGAACATTTTTCAAACTTTTTAATAAAAGGTTATTAAACAGACCAGCGGAAACCTGGCTAGAAGTGTTTTTCATTACCAAATTAAAGATAAATCAAATTCTGAAATATTGTCAAGGGTAGAATAGGACAGAAGAACTAATGTTCTGTCAATAACTTGGTGGCCGCTGAACAGATCCAGTCTACATTTCCTGACAATACAAGTTTGTTTGCCTAAGCGGATTGGACAGAGGCTTGATAGAGACAAAATCTCATTAAGCATATTGTCGTGGTTCCTAGACAATTTTCCCTCTCATAGACAACCTGCAGCTTCAAATTTGCCATTGTGTTCAGCAGTAGAAGGAAGTGGAAATGGAAACTGAATTTTATTAAAAACAAAATGCCTATGGGGCCTATATCAATAGTCTACATATTAATGTTATTATATATACCACTATACCAAATTACATGTGGTCTTTTTTTGAACTCTGACCCCTTGTGGGTGTCATGCTTCTTCCTCCACATAAGAGAGCGTAATTCTTCATCCCCTGGGGTATGTTTTAGTGAGAATGTTTTGGCTTTGTGGACCTCAGAATTTCTTCTGAATATACTTAGGCAGTCTGCTAAAACAGTGCACAAAAGACACGACCTCTATTGATCAGTGCATCAACATCACAAGGCAACTTATTAACCTTTCTCAACTTATAGAACATACCATGTATCTGGAAGTGAATAATACACTCCAAATTAGAGCGAAAATTGATATTTTTCTGAGAGTTTAGATTCAATAACAGAGATAAAATTATCATCGCTCAAGGGATCAGTTTCCAACCTAAATAATCCATCAACATTATCTAGTGCTATTCTGTAAAATGTTTGAAAAGACACACCAGAATTTTTTGTAAGAGCACATTAGAGTCAGACCTAGTCTTTCATGATCTGACCTTTTAAAAGATGTTGACAGGTTGTGAACACTGGTATGGGATCATATAGGAGGATAGGAGGTATGAATTTGATTCCAGACATTGAAGACAACTGAAGTATTAAGTTCTGCCTGACCAACTCAGAAGAATATGACATTCATTATATAGATTTTGTTTATTTCTGCTGACTTTGGTTGAAATCGTTGATTATCAGAGTCCAATCTAGTGTCTTATGATTTTATATTATGGTGTATAATTCCATCCTCTTAGTCAATTTTGTGGACTCGGTCTCCACTTCACTCTTTAGATCAAACTCGCTTGTACCCGACTGTGTCCTGATACATATTCCTTATTACTGAACTGTGGATCCCACATTCCTCAAACTCAGTTTATCCCTGTCCCACAGATGTTCATAATATTTACCCTCTAAATTCATCAAACAAGTCACTGATATTATGATCACCAAAATTTAACATTGTTACACATGACTGCCAGACTTCAGCACATTCAATTCTGAGTGTTCATGCTTTGTCTGATAGCAGATCATTTTGGGATTGACAAGCTGACAAACCTATACTGCTAACTGCTACATAACAATGTCCTTTTATTGGAGCATTCATGTAAATTAAATCAACCATCAAAGGAAAAATACAAGCAGTGTTCAAATAAAAGTCTTTTGTGTAAAATGATAATATGGAATGACACATTATTGAATGGGTACAGATGAACTAGCCTTCATTCTCACCGACACATTTTGTGCATGTTACATTTTGACGGAGATGAACTATGCAGTGAATGACCAATTTTGCACATTTTTCTCAGTAATTTCAAAATGACTTCAGTATAATCATTAATTCTTGAACTGATCAAACAAATGAGTCATTCCTGGACACTTATGGCTGATTACAAACTGATGGCTATGACAATCTGTGATTACTCACTAGAACTATGGATGAGTCCCAAGGAGATCATGTAAATGGGGTTTTACCGTGGTTTCTTACATTTTGCAAAACTAAGGTAGAAACTAGACAATGTCTGTAAGACACAAATTCCTTAATTTCTAAGTAAAATTTCACATAATTTTCACAAATTTCTACCAACAGTAACATTGACCTTAATCTTTGAATGTTCTGTCATTTTTTTTCAGAAATGATATTGCTAGAGTGATTTCTGTGTCACTTGATGACTTTCTATGAAAGCAAGTGTGACCTTGTCATTGGAATCGTGAAGTAGCATGACTTTTGTGTAAAGTTTTACTAAATTCCATGAGGAACAATGACTTTGTCCTTGGAACACTGAAGAACATTGAACTCCTTCAGCCGAGCTGGTGAGCTTAAAATTATAGGAATAATGGGCCACAATAAACACACAATGCTGTATGAGGTTTCAATAAGAAAATATGGCAACTCAAAATGTTATAATCACATATTAAACATACTCTAATAACATTAGTGATATAGCTTCTACCTTCGGGAGTGAACAACTTTATTTTAGGTATTATCTAATACAGTCTTTGTGTTTAAAACTTGTAAGTTTTGCATGAAATCTAAAGAAAGCTGATTATAAACACTGATTTACCAGTAGTCCCATGTGGTAACTCAAATTAAACAAAACTGCTTTGTCCATCTTCAAAATTTTGTTATTGCTGTACTTCTCAACAAATTGTTTCATGGATACAGGATTCAGATTTCAACTAATTAATTCTGTAGGACCAAATATAGTCATTGCAACATTGGCACATGACAATGAGTGCTAAAAGGTGACTGCTACTTCTTTTTATTTCTATTCTACACCTGAATGCAAATCATAACGAGAAATGAAAATCTTGTAACTGTTATTGAAATTTGTTTGTGATTTTCTCGTCATAAAAAGGGGGAGGGGTGTAAATACTTGAGAGCTTGGAATATGGAATTGACTGTCTGGTATTCACATGCCTTTAACATTCATACATGTACAACTCCATAAGAATAAGGAGTGCAATAGCTACACAGAGTGGCAACATAATCTTTATATATTCTGTATAGTAATAGGGAATTGAAAGATAATCTTTACATAACATTTAGCTATAGGATGAAGAAAAATGATTTGTATACAATTTGTATAGGTATTCTGAGTGAAAAGATAATTTATACATAATTTGTATGGCTTGACACAGTTGACAGATTGACATTTTATATCTCCCTAACTGCTGACCTAAGCGAAAGACAATTACAAGAGTTAATATTATTATATAGGGATAATAAATTTCCATATCCACCTATGGGAGTGGAATTGATTGTATAATATTTATGTGTTTCTTTGAAATCAATATGTCACCCTGCCATGTAATCTACAAACCACAGACATTCATCTATCGACCATAAGGTATGTCTGGAGGCAATACTCCTACAACTTGGTCCAAAAATAAACTCTTCCTTAAGGCTTATATCTTAACAAAAAAATAAAGATTAAAATTAACTATACCATATATCGTAAATGTCCTTGGGAAGGCATCTAATTGTAGCTAAGTTCACAGAAGCATGCCAAAACTCATGGAGATGGAATCGTTAGGTGGCAAGCACCTAAGTGACACTGATTGAAATCAATGTCTTTCATTATACAAAGATCCTTGTTAGGATCGTAGACAACAATTTGCAAAGCTAATTAATTATGGAGTGGCAGCAAGATGACCTTTGTTAACCTTCATGCTTGATTATCAGATTTTACCAAACCGGAGAATTATCTTCTCACAAACTTCTCACTGAACCCCAATTGTAATAACATACTCTAAGTCAACATTTTGTCTCCAGTGTGTACAAATTTTCTCTATAGATTACTATTTTTGATTGCTGTATCTCTCTGATTTCTACCTTCACTGAATCATTTATACGATTCAGCTGGACTACATACAAAGCATTCCACTTTGTAATCATATGAATTCTGTCTGAATATGAAATTTTCTTGGATTTTCCTCCTTTGCCTCCTAGGCTTCAAAATTTAGGCCCCTAGCATCACTGACAAGTCCTATAAGAACAAAACTACTGTATGGTGCAGTTTAATTCACTGTTTGGCTCTACTGTATCTAACTCTAAATTTAGAGTGAAGATAAATCAATCCAACAGACTGGGGGCGGGTTCTTCCAAACTTTATTAGGTAGTTGGTGTACCGGTTTCGCCGGTGTCTAAATTTGTATTAAAAGGTGCTTTTCACGTGTGTGACTTTTGTAAAATCTTGGACACAATGACCTACTTTCACTATTCAAAACTCTATCATCTTAAACTTGTTTAAAATTCTAGGTACCAGTTTAAATCGTTTGAATTGCTTCCCAAAACTAATCATGGGATGTTGTTTAA